GTAATGTCAGTGGTCGCATTGATTTGATTTTCGGTTTGCTTGTAGGGCGCTGGCACCCACATTCAGTGACCCAAAAAATTTGGCACTGCTGTGAATAGTTTAGTCGCAAAGTGAAGATTCACGGGTAAAAAGCCCCAAAGTGTGAGATTGGTTATTTTTCAGCTTTCAGCAGCCCTGGGCAAGTTCTTTAGAGAAATGTGGCTCTTTTTCTTGGTGCACTTGTCTATGTCCAGCTGCACAACAAGATGAGGCTGGTTATTGTCATTTTCTGAGCTGTGAACGGGCAGGAAGGTGAGAAAATGTCGGATTTTGACCATTTGTGCTGACCTTTGAATTTCAATGTACCTCTCTATAACATGACCCAGCTGTAATATCAGTGGTCGCATTGATTTGATTTTTGGTTTGCTTGTAGGGCGCTGGCATCCACATTCAGTGACCCAGAAAATGTGGCACTGCTGTGAATAGTTTAGTCGCAAAGTGAAAATTCACGGGTAAAAAGCCCCAAACTGTGAGATTGGTTATTTTTCAGCTTTCAGCAGCCCTGGGCAAGTTCTTTAGAGAAATGTGGCTCTTTTTCTTTGTGCAATTGTCTATGTCAAGCTGAACAACGAGATGAGGCTGGTTATTGTCATTTTCTGAGCTGTGAACGGGCAGTAAGGTGAGAAAATGTCGGATTTTGACCATTTGTGCTGACCTTTGAATTTCAATGTACCTCTCTATAACATGACCCAGCTGTAATGTCAGTTGTCGCATTGATTTGATTTTTGATTTGCTTGTAGGGCGCTGGCACCCACATTCAGTGACCCAAAAAATGTGGCACTGCTGTGAATAGTTTAGTCGCAAAGTGAAGATTCACGGGTAAAAAGCCCCAAAGTGTGAGATTGGTTATTTTTCAGCTTTCAGCAGCCCTGGGCAAGTTCTTTAGAGAAATGTGGCTCTTTTTCTTGGTGCACTTGTCTATGTCCAGCTGCACAACAAGATGAGGCTGGTCATTGTCATTTTCTGAGCTGTGAACGGGCAGGAAGGTGAGAAAATGTCGGATTTTGACCATTTGTGCTGACCTTTGAATTTCAATGTACCTCTCTATAACATGACCCAGCTGTAATGTCAGTTGTCGCATTGATTTGATTTTTGGTTTGCTTGTAGGGCGCTGGTATCCACATTCAGTGACCCAGAAAATGTGGCACTGCTGTGAATAGTTTAGTCGCAAAGTGAAGATTCACGGGTAAAAAGCCCCAAAGTGTGAGATTGGTTATTTTTTCAGCTTTCAGCAGCCCTGGGCAAGTTCTTTAGAGAAATGTGGCTCTTTTTCTTTGTGCACTTGTCTATGTCCAGCTGCACAACGAGATGAGGCTGGTCATTGTCATTTTCTGAGCTGTGAACGGGCAGGAAGGTGAGAAAATGTCGGATTTTGACCATTTGTGCTGACCTTTGAATTTCAATGTACCTCTCTATAACATGACCCAGCTGTAATGTCAGTGGTCGCATTGATTTGATTTTTGGTTTGCTTGTAGGGCGCTGGCACCCACATTCAGTGACCCCAAAAATGTGGCACTGCTGTGAATAGTTTAGTCGCAAAGACAAGATTCACGGGTAAAAAGCCCCAAAGTGTGAGATTGGTTATTTTTCAGCTTTCAGCAGCCCTGGGCAAGTTCTTTAGAGAAATGTGGGTCTTTTTCTTGGTTCAATTGTCTATGTCCAGCTGCACAGCGAGATGAGGCTGGTCATTGTCATTTTCTGAGCTGTGAACGGGCAGGAAGGTGAGAAAATGTCGGATTTTGACCATTTGTGCTGACCTTTGAATTTCAATGTACCTCTCTATAACATGACCCAGCTGTAATGTCAGTGGTTGCATTGATTTGATTTTTGGTTTGCTTGTAGGGCGCTGGCACCCACATTCAGTGACCCCAAAAATTTGGCACTGCTGTGAATAGTTTAGTCGCAAAGTGAAGATTCACGGGTAAATAGCCCCAAACTGTGAGATTGGTTATTTTTCAGCTTTCAGCAGCCCTGGGCAAGTTCTTTAGAGAAATGTGGCTCTTTTTCTTGGTGCACTTGTCTATGTCCAGCTGCACAACGAGATGAGTCTGGTCATTGTCATTTTCTGAGCTGTGAACGGTAAGGAAAGTGAGAAAATGTCGGATTTTGACCATTTGTGCTGACCTTTGAATTTCAATGTACCTCTCTATAACATGACCCAGCTGTAATGTCAGTGGTCGCATTGATTTGATTTTGGGTTTGCTTGTGAGGCGCTGGCACCCAAATTCAGTGACCCAGTAAATGTGGCACTGCTGTGAATAGTTTAGTCGCAAAGTGAAGATTCACGGGTAAAAAGCCCTAAAGTGTGAGATTGGTTATTTTTTCAGCTTTCAGCAGCCCTGGGCAAGTTCTTTAGAGAAATTGGCTCTTTTTCTTGGTGCACTTGTCTATGTCCAGCTGCACAACAAGATCAGGCTGGTCATTGTCATTTTCTGAGCTGTGAACGGGCAGGAAGGTGAGAAAATGTCGGATTTTGACCATTTGTGCTGACCTTTGAATTTCAATGTACCTCTCTATAACATGACCCAGCTGTAATGTCAGTGGTCGCATTGATTTGACTTTTGGTTTGCTTGTAGGGCGCTGGCACCCACATTCAGTGACCCCAAAAATTTGGCACTGCTGTGAATAGTTTAGTCGCAAAGTGAAGATTCACGGGTAAAAAGCCCCAAGGTGTGAGATTGGTTATTTTTCAGCTTTCAGCAGCCCTGGGCAAGTTCTTTAGAGAAAAGTGGCTCTTTTTCTTGGTGCACTTGTCTATGTCCAGCTGCACAACGAGATGAGGCTGGTCATTGTCATTTTCTGAGCTGTGAACGGGCAGGAAGGTGAGAAAATGTCGGATTTTGACCATTTGTGCTGACCTTTGAATTTCAATGTACCTCTCTATAACATGACCCAGCTGTTATGTCAGTGGTCGCATTGATTTGATTTTTGGTTTGCTTGTAGGGCGCTGGCACCCACATTCAGTGACCCCAAAATTTGGCACTGCTGTGAATAGTTTAGTCGCAAAGTGAAGATTCACGGGTAAAAAGCCCCAAAGTGTGAGATTGGTTATTTTTCAGCTTTCAGCAGCCCTGGGCAAGTTCTTTAGAGTAATGTGGCTCTTTTTCTTGGTGCACTTGTCTATGTCCAGCTGCACAACGAGATGAGTCTGGTCATTGTCATTTTCTGAGCTGTGAACGGGCAGGAAAGTGAGAAAATGTCGGATTTTGACCATTTGTGCTTACCTTTGAATTTCAATGTACCTCTCTATAACATGACCCAGCTGTAATGTCAGTGGTCGCATTGATTTGATTTTGGGTTTGCTTGTGAGGCGCTGGCACCCACATTCAGTGACCCAGTAAATGTGGCACTGCTGTGAATAGTTTAGTCGCAAAGTGAAGATTCACGGGTAAAAAGCCCCAAAGTGTGAGATTGGTTATTTTTTCAGCTTTCAGCAGCCCTGGGCAAGTTCTTTAGAGAAATTAGCTCTTTTTCTTGGTGCACTTGTCTATGTCCAGCTGCACAACAAGATCAGGCTGGTCATTGTCATTTTCTGAGCTGTGAACGGGCAGGAAGGTGAGAAAATGTCGGATTTTTACCATTTGTGCTGACCTTTGAATTTCAATGTACCTCTCTATAACATGACCCAGCTGTAATGTCAGTGGTCGCATTGATTTGACTTTTGGTTTGCTTGTAGGGCGCTGGCACCCACATTCAGTGACCCCAAAAATTTGGCACTGCTGTGAATAGTTTAGTCGCAAAGTGAAGATTCACGGGTAAAAAGCCCCAAGGTGTGAGATTGGTTATTTTTCAGCTTTCAGCAGCCCTGGGCAAGTTCTTTAGAGAAAAGTGGCTCTTTTTCTTGGTGCACTTGTCTATGTCCAGCTGCACAACGAGATGAGGCTGGTCATTGTCATTTTCTGAGCTGTGAACGGGCAGGAAGGTGAGAAATGTCGGATTTTGACCATTTGTGCTGACCTTTGAATTTCAATGTACCTCTCTATAACATGACCCAGCTGTAATCTCAGTTGTCGCATTGATTTGATTTTTGGTTTGCTTGTAGGGCGCTGGCACCCACATTCAGTGACCCAAAAAATTTGGCACTGCTGTAAATAGTTTAGTCGCAAAGTGAAGATTCACGGGTAAAAAGCCCCAAAGTGTGAGATTGGTTATTTTTCAGCTTTCAGCAGCCCTGGGCAAGTTCTTTAGAGAAATGTGGCTCTTTTTCTTGGTGCACTTGTCTATGTCCAGCTACACAAGATGAGGCTGGTTATTGTCATTTTCTGAGCTGTGAACGGGCAGGAAGGTGAGAAAATGTCGGATTTTGACCATTTGTGCTGACCTTTGAATTTCAATGTACCTCTCTATAACATGACCCAGCTGTAATGTCAGTGGTCGCATTGATTTGATTTTTGGTTTGCTTGTAGGGCGCTGGCATCCACATTCAGTGACCCAGAAAATGTGGCACTGCTGTGAGTAGTTTAGTCGCAAAGTGAAGATTCACGGGTAAAAAGCCCCAAAGTGTGAGATTGGTTATTTTTCAGCTTTCAGCAGCCCTGGGCAAGTTCTTTAGAGAAATGTGGCTCTTTTTCTTTGTGCAATTGTCTATGTCAAGCTGAACAACGAGATGAGGCTGGTCATTGTCATTTTCTGAGCTGTGAACGGGCAGTAAGGTGAGAAAATGTCGGATTTTGACCATTTGTGCTGACCTTTGAATTTCAATGTACCTCTCTATAACATGACCCAGCTGTAATGTCAGTTGTCGCATTGATTTGATTTTTGATTTGCTTGTAGGGCGCTGGCACCCACATTCAGTGACCCAAAAAATTTGGCACTGCTGTGAATAGTTTAGTCGCAAAGTGAAGATTCACGGGTAAAAAGCCCCAAACTGTGAGATTGGTTATTTTTCAGCTTTCAGCAGCCCTGGGCAAGTTCCTTAGAGAAATGTGGGTCTTTTTCTTGGTTCACTTGTCTATGTCCAGCTGCACAACGAGATGAGGCTGGTCATTGTCATTTTCTGAGCTATGAACGGGCAGGAAGGTGAGAAAATGTCGGATTTTGACCATTTGTGCTGACCTTTGAATTTCAATGTACCTGTCTATAACATGACCCAGCTGTAATGTCAGTGGTCGCATTGATTTGATTTTTGGTTTGCTTGTAGGGCGCTGGCATCCACATTCAGTGACCTAGAAAATGTGGCACTGCTGTGAATAGTTTAGTCGCAAAGTGAAGATTCACGGGTAAAAAGCCCCAAACTGTGAGATTGGTTATTTTTCAGCTTTCAGCAGCCCTGGGCAAGTTCTTTTGAGAAATGTGGCTCTTTTTCTTTGTGCAATTGTCTATGTCAAGCTGAACAACGAGATGAGGCTGGTTATTGTCATTTTCTGAGCTGTGAACGGGCAGTAAGGTGAGAAAATGTCGGATTTTGACCATTTGTGCTGACCTTTGAATTTCAATGTACCTCTCTATAACATGACCCAGCTGTAATTTCAGTTGTCGCATTGATTTGATTTTTGATTTGCTTGTAGGGCGCTGGCACCCACATTCAGTGAACCAAAAAATTTGGCACTGCTGTGAATAGTTTAGTCGCAAAGTGAAGATTCACGGGTAAAAAGCCCCAAACTGTGAGATTGGTTATTTTTCAGCTTTCAGCAGCCCTGGGCAAGTTCTTTAGAGAAATGTGGCTCTTTTTCTTGGTGCACTTGTCTATGTCCAGCTGCACAACAAGATGAGGCTGGTCATTGTCATTTTCTGAGCTGTGAACGGGCAGGAAAGTGAGAAAATGTCGGATTTTGACCATTTGTGCTGACCTTTGAATTTCAATGTACCTCTCTATAACATGACCCAGCTGTAATATCAGTGGTCGCATTGATTTGATTTTAAGTTTGCTTGTAGGGCGCTGGCATCCACATTCAGTGACCCAGAAAATGTGGCACTGCTGTGAATAGTTTAGTCGCAAAGTGAAGATTCACGGGTAAAAAGCCCCAAACTGTGAGATTGGTTATTTTTCAGCTTTCAGCAGCCCTGGGCAAGTTCTTTAGAGAAATGTGGCTCTTTTTCTTGGTTCACTTGTCTATGTCCAGCTGCACAACGAGATGAGGCTGGTCATTGTCATTTTCTGAGCTGTGAACGGGCAGGAAGGTGAGAAAATGTCGGATTTTGACCATTTGTGCTGACCTTTGAATTTCAATGTACCTCTCTATAACATGACCCTGCTGTAATGTCAGTGGTCACATTGATTTGATTTTTGGTTTGCTTGTAGGGCGCTGGCACCCACATTCAGTGACCCAAAAAATTTGGCACTGCTGTGAATAGTTTAGTCGCAAAGTGAAGATTCACGGGTAAAAAGCCCCAAAGTGTGAGATTGGTTATTTTTCAGCTTTCAGCAGCCCTGGGCAAGTTCTTTAGAGAAATGTGGCTCTTTTTCTTTGTGCACTTGTCTATGTCCAGCTGCACAACGAGATGAGGCTGGTCATTGTCATTTTCTGAGCTGTGAACGGGCAGGAAGGTGAGAAAATGTCGGATTTTGACCATTTGTGCCGACCTTTGAATTTCAATGTACCTCTCTATAACATGACCCTGCTGTAATGTCAGTGGTCGCATTGATTTGATTTTTGGTTTGCTTGTAGGGCGCTGGCACCCACATTCAGTGACCCAAAAAATTTGGCACTGCTGTGAATAGTTTAGTCGCAAAGTGAAGATTCACGGGTAAAAAGCCCCAAAGTGTGAGATTGGTTATTTTTCAGCTTTCAGCAGCCCTGGGCAAGTTCTTTAGAGAAATGTGGCTCTTTTTTTTGGTGCACTTGTCTATGTCCAGCTGCACAACGAGATGAGGCTGGTCATTGTCATTTTCTGAGCTGTGAACGGGCAGGAAGGTGAGAAAATGTCGGATTTTGACCATTTGTGCTGACGTTTGAATTTCAATGTACCTCTCTATAACATGACCCAGCTGTAATGTCAGTTGTCGTATTGATTTGATTTTAAGTTTGCTTGTAGGGCGCTGGCATCCACATTCAGTGACCCAGAAAATGTGGCACTGCTGTGAATAGTTTAGTCGCAAAGTGAAGATTCACGGGTAAAAAGCCCCAAACTGTGAGATTGGTTATTTTTCAGCTTTCAGCAGCCCTGGGCAAGTTCTTTAGAGAAATGTGGGTCTTTTTCTTGGTTCACTTGTCTATGTCCAGCTGCACAACGAGATGAGGCTGGTTATTGTCATTTTCTGAGCTGTGAACGGGCAGGAAGGTGAGAAAATGTCGGATTTTGACCATTTGTGCTGACCTTTGAATTTCAATGTACCTCTCTATAACATGACCCAGCTGTAATGTCAGTGGTCGCATTGATTTGATTTTTGGTTTGCTTGTAGGGCGCTGGCACCCACATTCAGTGACCCAAAAAATTTGGCACTGCTGTGAATAGTTTAGTCGCAAAGTGAAGATTCACGGGTAAAAAGCCCCAAACTGTGAGATTGGTTATTTTTCAGCTTTCAGCAGCCCTGGGCAAGTTCTTTAGAGAAATGTGGCTCTTTTTCTTGGTGCACTTGTCTATGTCCAGCTGCACAACGAGATGAGGCTGGTCATTGTCATTTTTTGAGCTGTGAACGGGCAGGAAGGTGAGAAAATGTCGGATTTTGACCATTTGTGCTGACGTTTGAATTTCAATGTACCTCTCTATAACATGACCCAGCTGTAATGTCAGTTGTCGCATTGATTTGATTTTTGGTTTGCTTGTAGGGCGCTGGCACCCACATTCAGTGACCCAAAAAATTTGGCACTGCTGTGAATAGTTTAGTCGCAAAGTGAAGATTCACGGGTAAAAAGCCCCAAACTGTGAGATTGGTTATTTTTCAGCTTTCAGCAGCCCTGGGCAAGTTCTTTAGAGAAATGTGGCTCTTTTTCTTGGTGCACTTGTCTATGTCCAGCTGCACAACAAGATGAGGCTGGTCATTGTCATTTTCTGAGCTGTGAACGGGCAGGAAGGTGAGAAAATGTCGGATTTTGACCATTTGTGCTGACGTTTGAATTTCAATGTACCTCTCTATAACATGACCCAGCTGTAATGTCAGTTGTCGCATCGATTTGATTTTAAGTTTGCTTGTAGGGCGCTGGCATCCACATTCAGTGACCCAGAAAATGTGGCACTCCTGTGAATAGTTTAGTCGCAAAGTGAAGATTCACGGGTAAAAAGCCCCAAACTGTGAGATTGGTTATTTTTCAGCTTTCAGCAGCCCTGGGCAAGTTCTTTAGAGAAATGTGGGTCTTTTTCTTGGTTCACTTGTCTATGTCCAGCTGCACAACGAGATGAGGCTGGTTATTGTCATTTTCTGAGCTGTGAACGGGCAGGAAGGTGAGAAAATGTCGGATTTTGACCATTTGTGCTGACCTTTGAATTTCAATGTACCTCTCTATAACATGACCCTGCTGTAATGTCAGTGGTCGCATTGATTTGATTTTTGGTTTGCTTGTAGGGCGCTGGCACCCACATTCAGTGACCCAAAAAATTTGGCACTGCTGTGAATAGTTTAGTCGCAAAGTGAAGATTCACGGGTAAAAAGCCCCAAACTGTGAGATTGGTTATTTTTCAGCTTTCAGCAGCCCTGGGCAAGTTCTTTAGAGAAATGTGGCTCTTTTTCTTGGTTCACTTGTCTATGTCCAGCTGCATAACGAGATGAGGCTGGTTATTGTCATTTTCTGAGCTGTGAACGGGCAGGAAGGTGAGAAAATGTCGGATTTTGACCATTTGTGCTGACCTTTGAATTTCAATGTACCTCTCTATAACATGACCCTGCTGTAATGTCAGTGGTCGCATTGATTTGATTTTTGGTTTGCTTGTAGGGCGCTGGCACCCACATTCATTGACCCAAAAAATTTGGCACTGCTGTGAATAGTTTAGTCGCAAAGTGAAGATTCACGGGTAAAAAGCCCCAAACTGTGAGATTGGTTATTTTTCAGCTTTCAGCAGCCCTGGGCAAGTTCTTTAGAGAAATGTGGCTCTTTTTCTTGGTGCACTTGTCTATGTCCAGCTGCACAACGAGATGAGGCTGGTCATTGTCATTTTCTGAGCTGTGAACGGGCAGGAAGGTGAGAAAATGTCGGATTTTGACCATTTGTGCTGACCTTTGAATTTCAATGTACCTCTCTATAACATGACCCAGCTGTAATGTCAGTTGTCGCATTGATTTGATTTTTGGTTTGCTTGTAGGGCGCTGGTATCCACATTCAGTGACCCAGAAAATGTGGCACTGCTGTGAATAGTTTAGTCGCAAAGTGAAGATTCACGGGTAAAAAGCCCCAAAGTGTGAGATTGGTTATTTTTTCAGCTTTCAGCAGCCCTGGGCAAGTTCTTTAGAGAAATGTGGCTCTTTTTCTTGGTGCACTTGTCTATGTCCAGCTGCACAACGAGATGAGGCTGGTCATTGTCATTTTCTGAGCTGTGAACGGGCAGGAAGGTGAGAAAATGTCGGATTTTGACCATTTGTGCTGACCTTTGAATTTCAATGTACCTCTCTATAACATGACCCAGCTGTAATGTCAGTGGTCGCATTGATTTGATTTTTGGTTTGCTTGTAGGGCGCTGGCATCCACATTCAGTGACCCAGAAAATGTGGCACTGCTGTGAATAGTTTAGTCGCAAAGTGAAGATTCACGGGTAAAAAGCCCCAAACTGTGAGATTGGTTATTTTTCAGCTTTCAGCAGCCCTGGGCAAGTTCTTTAGAGAAATGTGGCTCTTTTTCTTTGTGCAATTGTCTATGTCAAGCAGAACAACGAGATGAGGCTGGTTATTGTCATTTTCTGAGCTGTGAACGGGCAGTAAGGTGAGAAAATGTCGGATTTTGACCATTTGTGCTGACCTTTGAATTTCAATGTACCTCTCTATAACATGACCCAGCTGTAATGTCAGTTGTCGCATTGATTTGATTTTTGGTTTGCTTGTAGGGCGCTGGCACCCACATTCAGTGACCCAAAAAATTTGGCACTGCTGTGAATAGTTTAGTCGCAAAGTGAAGATTCACGGGTAAAAAGCCCCAAAGTGTGAGATTGGTTAT